GATATCCCGTGCCTATTGCTTCTCAAAATCGCTCTCAAACGTGGCTACAGGTTCAGTGTTTTCCCGTGCTTCCAGAACCACTCAAGGAGTTTGATCCTTACACACGGGTCAACACTCCTGAAGCGCAAGTTTACCTTCGTGCTTGGGGACCAACCAGAGATTACCTGATCAAGATGGAGGAAATCGTAGTTCACTGTACATGGATTATGTATTGAGCGGGCCTTATTCACAAGAAGTTGGACATACCAACTGTGGCACTAGTTTTGAATGAGAGATAAAATCATTATAAAGCGCAGAATTACAATGATAAAGGTTGATACTGGCAAGACCAATAGACCAAACTTCATCTGATTTGAAACAATAAAAAATAACGATAAAAAAAGTTCCATTTGATCCTGAGTTATAGTGTTCCTACTCTTTAATCACCCAAGAGTACATTCAGAGGATATGTTGAAAGTTTAAAAGCCGAGTTCAACCAAAGCCCAAACAATTCCAGGCAACACCAGCGCCGATGACACTTGGAGTGGTGCTTTTTCCATCGCGGTAAGTCCGTTTAAAAAATCCGGTGCATAGCAGTCACTCGGTAACTTGCTTGGAGCCGAGATCTTACTTACTGGTGCATTTGTCTGACGGACACGTTGGCAAGAGGGTCGTCCTCGGTTAGGAGAGCCGGAGGTGCTTGGAGTGAGACTGTGTTTGAGCTGTACTTGTGATTTGTCTAGACGCTCCCAGACGTTAGATAGCTCTTTGCTACGCCATTCGAGGGCTCGTACAATATTTGGGCCTTTGCCCGCTGCCGGGCTTTCAGTATCTGTTTCATCGTCGCTACAGGTAGATTCAATTAGAGGTATCAAAGGCCATAATCTCTCGTGACTCATCACTGTTTGCTGTTGGGCCCTTTTGAGCTGTTTGGTAAAACGCACATCCATATCAGAATTTGAGATATATATTTGAGAAAGACAAACTCACACAACCCAACCTTGTTGTGCGTCTGTTTGCATCAGCTGCCGCTTTCTTACGCTCTTCTTCCCAATTCTCAGTACGAAATCTAACGAAATAACAGATTGTGTCAGTTAATAAATTCGTGTCAAGTTTATGAAAATTGTTGCAAACTTGCCTCTTCTTTAATGTTTGAAAATGGGCAGAAAAGCACTCTTTGATGAAATCCCTATTAGTGCTATCCAAACTTACCCCCGGGTACTCACCACATTCCACCAGCTTGATAAATATTTTCTCAGAAACATCCCACAACCATTTATTTTCTGGTGATCGTGCTGCCTCTGAAAAATCAGGGCGAAAGGTTTGCATGCCGACCGCGTTCATCAACTTCCACATCACAGCAAGCTGTTGAGGAGTTGAATCAGGATGCCCGGGGCCATCTTCGTATGGAAAGTGCGGATCTACTGAGCTTTGATTATCAGGCCCAGGGAAGTTGTCCAGGTCGATCTCCACATTGTTGAGATCCTTTTCAACCATCCAGTTTTCCTTCTCTTGCAAGTCAGCTGGTGGTGGAAGCGGAGTATCATCTGATTTTCTACCTAGCATGACGTCAATATGAAATCTGATATAGGACTTCACAAAAAGTTCAGATTAATGCATCAAAATGAAGCCAGATGGAGGAAACCAATAAGGTGGACTGTCAATACTCACTGATGTGCGGCCGCCTTGGGTCTTTTTTTTAGTACCTTTCTCGCTAGACTCATTTACCAGTTGTTTCACCAATCGAGACAAGGTTTTATATTCATTTGTGAGTACGTCCACTTTATTTGTAAGTATATCAACCTTGTGGCTTGAGACAAGCCACAAATTTTTAAGTTCGGTGTAAGTCTTATTTTCACCATGAACTGTTTCTTGCATCATTAATTAAATAAGTTGTCAGTTCATGGTTTAAGTCTGACTCGAAGAGACTCAGATTTGATAGGAGCTCACCTGGGTTTATGTTTTCTACATCAGGCTGCCCAATATCTTCTTGCATGACATCCGGATTTGGTACTTCACGCCTCTTGGATTGATCTGTCTTATTGAAATCTTCTGAATCATTGATATCTTTAGAAGACTCTTCATGTTGGTATCCATCATCAATTCACACACAAGTTCTTCTCTGTCCTTTCCTATGATTTGAAGATGGTGGCGACAGAGACATATTTGGTTCAGAGTTCAAGAATCGATTGTTGTCACGAGTTGTATCGGCCTCAGGTGAAGGGTTGATTTTGATTACTGGTGTAGCTTTGGTGTTTGATTTGCTGGGACCTTCTGGAGGAACACTCGTCGTAATCATATTGAGAAAAAATGAAGTGAGTTGTGTGTCCCACTCTACACAAATTAGATTGTATAGACGCTCACCCTGGTTTGTCTTTGCCACACCAGACTGACTGATTTCCTCTTGTATGGCATCCGCACTCGGTTTTTTGCGACGCTTGGGTTTATTGGTCTTACCCAACTCTTCCAAAAGATTAATTTCTCCTGAAGTGTTGTCTTGTTCGGATCCGTCGCCAGTTTGTACACGTGCTCAACCCTTTCCTTTCTTGAGGTTTGAAGATGGTGGTGACATTGATTGATTTGGCTCAGGATTTGGTGTGCCACTGATGTCAAGATTGGTAGTCACCACAGTTGAGGACTCCATTTTGACTGCGGGTGGATGTGCTCTACTTGACTGGCTAGGACCGGCTGGAGGATGACTCATAGTAGTATCAGATGCTTGCTTCTCCATCAGCAAGCATACCAACGGAACCAACTTACCTTGGCTGGATTCATGAGGTTGGATTTGGAAGGTAGATTGTACTCTTGATGTTGATGCCGTTTTTCCAAGCTGGTCTTGATGTACAGGCGGAAGGGGTGGTGGTATAACTGTGATGATGATGCACAGATGCCCAAAAAAAGGTGATTCAGCCCGGGCTAGTGATTCTCTGACTGCTTCATAAGAGAGAAATCTTGTGTAACTTACTCAGATCTGTGTAAATGCGGCAGGTCGTGACCAGCTCCTCCTTGTTCATCCCAGCCGAGTCGATTCCCACTTCAAGCACCATCTGACGAAGCTCGGCAACATCATACCTCGAGTAGTCAAGCTCACTTTGAGGGGATTCTGGTTGTTCCACAAGGTTGGTTTTGTCTTTGCTTGTGTCCTTGTTAGGTTGCTGAATGTTTGCACCTCGTGTACACTAAAAGTCCGGAGCCGCCCCGAAGATACCTGACCCTGTATCATCCGAGCGGCTCCATAATTTTGGTGCAGATGTAACTCAGATGCATGACATGCATCTGGAGTAACCTCCACCACAACTTCAAAGGTCCTTAACAACATCACAACATCACCAAAATCGTGGAACTGATGTATTTAGAGCCACTCAATGCATACAATGATGTATATAAATTTTACATTCAACAACATTAGGGTGGCCATTGGCATATATCCCAACTCAAATCAGGGATAACATTCATTGCAGCTTCAAGTTCACAACGCTCACAATCACAACTTCACACTACTCACAGCCATACACTCACAACTCTCAGAGGGTTTATCTCACAATCACAAGCCTCCCTCACAATCAATACATTCCCGGTCCCAAAGTACAAGTGCACACAACATCACATCACATCACAAGTCCGACTCAGACAACACATACATGACACATGGTGTCACTCACACAGCTTTCACAAACCTCAACACCACCACTCATCATCAAACTAACGTAAACCAACCACCACCAACCCTACATTATCCAACCAAATACCTCCCCCTCAAATCATGCCTTGCCCAACTCGAAAACGGCCATCCTCACCTGAGCAACCACCAAACTCAAAACGCCGGACCCGGAGTGAACCACGAGCAAAAGCCAAAAACGTCACCACCTCAAAGTCATCCAAGACAAAGACCATCAAACATCCAGCTCAACGCGAGTCCCTTAATGGTGATGATGCCACCTCGGATGATGATTCATCATTTGTCCTTGACCCGGACGATGTCGAGCAACTCCAACAAGCCAACGATGAAGATTGGGAGGATGACATTGAGTTACCCCAAGCCAATACATCCAACGTCCCCAAGGCATCAAAACCAACCCCCCAACCCACCACCCAATCGAAGAAATCCAAGTTTCAGCTTACACTTCACAACTATCAAGAGAGCGAGTTGGATTTAAGTACAATTGATTCACTTCTTCATGCCGGAGCTCGGAAGACACGAAATCGAATTCCACAGGACGTTCAAAAAGAACTGAAGAATCTTCAGTATATCTATTTCCGTGCCAAAAAACTGCTGGCCTTGGTTGCAAAATGTAGCGAACAAACCATCAATGAGTTCTTGTCAGTACGAGCCCATCTTCACATTGCACACCACTGAAACCAAACATTTGACTCTTTCCTTTTCTTCATAGACACGAAGTCAGCATGCGGACAAAGCGTACATTCTACCAATGTTATCTGAAGTACGGAATAGAAAGTAGCATAGCTGACAGTACGTCTTCAAGAACGATTATTGACAATTGATTATAGGGCCATCTGACGTGATCTCACCACCCCACAGTGCCGGCTAGGAATGAGTCCAACGGCTTCAAAGAGCGAAACACTTACCTAGGCCAAAAATGGAGCTCGTACCAGCCCGAGGAAAAGGACATATTCAACGATCAACTTTTCTTTCCTCTTGGTTACTTGGCGTGTGGGTGGGCGCTACCACCAGCTGAATCAAAAACCGAACCCCTCACCCCCGATGAGATCGAGCAATATACCCCAATATATAAACGGCTGGTTAATACTGACAAGGTCGCAAGGGATCTCGGGCAAGACAAGTTTGGACCTCACCTAGCTACAGCTCGGCAAAACAAGGGGATTATGGAGGTCGAACGTATTGATGATGAGGTCAGGCTTGTTTCCTTGTTGTAACTCATGTGTTGCTGCTGACCCCATAACACTCACACTGTCTCATCGCAACAGTAGCTTCAGACTCTTAAGATCCGCTACGGAATAGACTACTCACTCATGGCGTCTTCTTGGTCACCCGACACTAAAAATCGGAATGCCCAGTGGAGCATGGAAACTTCGTCATGCGATGATTGGTTAGCGGTCAGCAATGGAACCAGGCATCTTCTCGAAAAGTTTGTGCGGCAAGTAACCCAATCCGACCCAAAAGCCCGACCAACAAAAGCGAAGAAAGTCCAGCCCAGTGATGAGATCAAAGGCCGACTAATTGCTGCTTTAAACACTCAAGTTGGTGCGTAATTCAATTTCGATCCATTGGAACTCGGAGTGACCTAAATGTCTTATCTCACTCCAGCCCAATATCTTCAACCACCCTTATCGCACTTGGATTGTCATCCAAAGACCTCAAGCCCTCATATTGCTCTCAAGAAAAGGGAATTCAAAGGTGGAATCAAGTTGATGGTACAAAGAACTGAACAGAGTCAAATGACTGATCTTATGCTTTCAACCGAGCTTCAGAAGATGACTCTTGCCACGCACAAGCTATGGTTGGCAGACATTGAGGCTGGCCATTATAAGGTTGTCCTACAAGATTCAAGTTGTGGAGGAGAAGCTCCACCAAAAGCTGACGATGAAGCCAACTTAATTGATGCTGACTTAATTATGACTCAAAATCGCCCGGCTGAAAGCTCCAGCCCACCACCATCTATGTAGGTGTCCCTGGATGCAATGCAATCCTTGAATATTTTTACCTCCATCCCAAATGGATCAATTTCCTCTCCTACCAATATTGTCTTTCTCTTTCGTGTTATCTTTCAAATTGATCGTCCATTTCATTTTCACACAATTGATATTCTATGGCTATGACTGCAACTGAGTAATTGACTAGTCCAAAATCGATTACATAACATCTTTGTGTCTTCTTCTTGAACATTCAACCAATAAGAAACTGTCAAATAAATAAATGAACCATGATTTAAGAAATCAATACATGAATGTTTGATTCCGATCATGTGATGATTCAGATGACAAGTGGACTATCAGATCCAGGCTGCTCGATATCCTGTCTCACAGATACAGAAGAACGTCAAAGTTCCCACCAACAACGACAAAATGTGACATTAGCCATATACAATTCCTTGATTTGAACTATCAGTTCACAATCGTACAGACAAGTCCTTGGTGAAATTGAATACATGTTACTCTACGTGTGAAGTTTCATGTTCCAAGTTCACAACGTATATTATTGATGAAGTGACAGAAGTGATATCGTTTATGTATGTATGTATACTAACTAATTTTGTGAACTGATTGTGAACTCTTGAGTTACCAATGTATGTATACAAACAAAGTTTGTGAACTGATTGTGAACTCTCGAGTATGCCAGTTTACAACATGGTCATTGTGAACTCATTGTGAACTGCCAAGTGATTATCTCCCCAGTAGTTCACAAAGTCACTCATTTTGTGATCTTTATCAAACACACTAGTTTGGCCAGTTTTGAATGTGAACAAATTCACAAGTTCACAAGCTCACAAGCTTACAACTTCACGTTCACAAGTTCACAAGTTCACAATTTCACAATTTCAGATTCACAAGTTCTCAAGTTCACAAGTTCAGGTCCACAAGTTCAGGTCCACAAGTTCACAAGTTACCAAGTTCACAAGTTCACAAGTTACCAACTTCACAAGTTCACAAGTTACCAAGTTCACAAGGTCACAAGTTCACAAGTTCACAGGTTCACAAGTTCACAGGTTCACAGGTTCACAAGTTCACAGGTTCACAAGCTCACAGGTTCACAAGTTCACAAGTTCACAAGTTCACAGGTTCACAAGTTCACAAGATTACCTGTTCACAAGTCAACAAGGTTACCTGTTCACAAGTTCACCCAAAGATCACAAAAGTACACATTTATACTCAATTTGTCAACTTACCATGTGGTGTTTGTGAATCTTGTGATTGTGAAAGTGAATGATACAATATTCCAAGTTCACATGGTAGACTTTGAAGTTCACAAAGTTCACAAGGTGGACTTGGGAGTTCACAATAAGTACACAAAGTAAAGCTTGAATTACCATCTTCACAAGTTACAATGTGAACATTGTGAACTCCTCACAAGTATACCCCAAGAAACGTACAGTTCACAAAAGTACACAATTATAGTGAACTCTCAAGGTGTGCTTGTGAATAGTATATATTCCAAGTTCACAAATAGTATATATTCCAAGTTCACAAGTTGATAGTTCACAATGAGTTCACAAAATTCACAGGTTTGTGAACATTGTGAACTATCCAATTCACACGAGTCAAGGTAGACTTGAGCATTCACAATAAGTTCACAAAATGAACTTGAAATCCCATCTTCACAATGAGCTTCCAAATTCACAATGTCATTCACAATGTATGTACTATTTTGTTTCACAAAGGTCACCTAGTATATCGTCATTCCGTGAACTGGTTACAATCTTTCAATGTCATCCATTCATTTCTCATCAAAATAAATCACTCATTCTTCAACCTGATCCTCTTCATCTTCTTCGTGCGCCTCGTGAGGTTCATCTTCATCTTCATCTTCAAATTCAGTACCTTCATATTCATCATCATCACCCTGTCCTTCAATACTCACTATTTGAATGATTCCCTCCCACTCTGCAAGACTATCCTTTACCATCTTGCGCCACTTGGTACACTGCTCTTGATCATTGTACTCGCTGCCCATCGGTGGTGTTGTCAAGCTGACCAACAGGCATATCTTCTCTTGCCACCGCACCCATAGACAACAAGAACGTTCCATGAGTATTGAATGCAAAGACTGCATCACCTCTTTTGAGGTGGCCCAAACGGGTACAATACCTAAAAATCCAATGTCAATTGTGTTTACTTCAGTCCAAGATACACAAATCTTTCGACACAACCATACCTACACCTACCTGAACTGGTCTCATCCCGGAGGGCATTTATCTTATCCTGGAATTCCAATCCCCAGTTCATCATTTGCCTTGCCTCCTTTGCGATTCGGCGAAGCTCTTCGTCACATCGACTCGCATCCAGATAGGCTTCAATGCCATCCTGAGTCGCGGCGTCAACCGCCCAAGGTTCTTGTGGATGAGTAAGG